ATGTCACTCTGGGAGAGGTACAGGCAGGCTGCTGGGGAGTTAGTTAAAGTTTAGGGGAAGGAACTCTTGGCATAAGCAATACTCTAGTCAGAGGAGGGTAAGCAAATAGCACACTCCTTAGCAATCCTTGAAAATATCCTAGAATAAACTCAGTTTCTTCCAAACTCTGTCATGTGCTGGACCTGAGTTTGCTCCTCAGCACCCGTATGAGACAGCTCACAACTACCTCTTCTGGTCTCCACTGACACCTACACACACACACACACACACACACACACGCACTCACGCACCACGTGGCATACATTCACAAAGATGCATGCACACATAAACTCCATTAAAACAAACAAATAACCAAGTGACACAGAGTCTATTCTTAGATCTGGTAAGAGACAGCGTGTCTTCGCCCTGACCAGGCAGTCTCTGCTGATTAAAGTCTGGGAAGTCCTGGGTGACACTGTTGGCATAGTACTGTACTACTTACTGTTCAGAAGAGAAGCATCCCATTGGACCCTCTGGAGAGGCTGGTTAGATAGGAGTGCCTGGGCAAAGACATACCGTTAAGATCCAGTTGTCCTTCGAGAAGTCGTGAGGTTTGGAGAGCGTGACTGTGGCTAAGCCTCAGTCTCAGGTTAAGACCCGTGTGCCCTCACAGCTCATGGTAAGTCACGCCTGCGAGTGAGTAGGCCAGTGCAGACCTCTTCTGTGTGAGATAGTTAGCAAGTGGGTCGTAGGAAGGTAATCCCGCACCCATTGATCTGACCAGAGCAGTTTGCTGAGGAGTTTTGGGAATCTGAGCTGGTGATGCGGTGTAGATGGAAGAGAGGAGAGACGAGAGGCACCGGTGATTTAGGATGTGTGCATACTACACTTTAAACCTCTCAAATACATCCCCCTCAGCAAGTCCCTCAGCCAATAGCTAATAATGCTCTCCACTCCAGACGCCGGGCATGTGGTCTTGCTTTCACGAGTAGGGGCTTATCCACACAGTGCTTCTGGCTGACCAGTTAAACAGCAGAGTCCTAAGTGCATAAAATGCCAGCAATGGAATCAACTTTGATTTTTGTCCTTTCTGCTCCCCTGAAAAGGATCTGCCCCTAAAGTTAGGTGAAGCCATTCTCATCTTGGTTTTGTGGCTAGAGGAACCCTTGAATGGTTTTTAATTGCCCCGTCTCTTGTTCCGACTCACAAAGTAAATGCCAGACATAACCATGACTTCACAGTCTAGGGTTGGGATGGTTTCCTGGGAAATATTATGAAAGCCCATAATGGTGTTGCTACAAAATTACTTTAGAAACCTTCACTTTGAGACACTTAAATTTTCAATGCCCTCGAGTCATTTTTGTAGTTGTAATTACACTGGGGCGAGGGGCAGGATGGGAGGAATCCAGTCATCTGTGGCACTTGTTCTTCCCCGGAGCTGGACCCGGAGGAGATAAGGATTTATGTGAGATGCTGTTCGTCCCACGCGGAAGGAGAATAGATAGTGGTTTCTTTACTGCGGCCCTAAAGCACCTTCGCTGATAGGTGTGATTTCATTAGACAAAAATGGGGGTGAGTAGGCACATGGTAGTGGCCGAGTGATAGTAAAGAACGAGAGATGGCTTTTGTTCCCTGGTGGGGGGGCAGAGTCGGATGTGTGAACTGTGGGGAAGTGTCACAGTCAAAAATGGCAAACCAAGGAAAGGCACCCCTATGTTCCGTGTGGGTGATATAGCCCAGGGCTGCTTATGTCACCTTTGACTTCCTGTGACCATGTAACCCCAGGATGTACCGCAGTATGGAAGACCAACATTAATGTAGCTATGGGTTTGGGGCTCCACCTCGCTGACCTAATCTCACGGTGCTCTTGTATAATGTCTATCACACAGCATGGCTGCTACCTGCCTGCTGTGTCTCCCTGGTGAGAGCAAAACAAGCATGACCATTGGCGGGCACTGCGTAGAAGAGCTGCATAGTTTTTTTAGCCTCTCTGTTAACATAAGATGATGAACCCATGTATTAAGGACCTTGAACATATATGTCTACATGTATGCATGCACACACATGCTTGTTCATAGAAGGGGCCCAGATGACATAGTGAGAGGTGGGAGGAGGGCAGAGGGGATGAGAAAGATAGATAATAAAGCTTATTCTGCTTACAGACAGCTAGGAATGAGGTGGGGGTCACACTGCTTCAGACATGCTGATTAGCTGGTTTCCATCGTTCCCTATAAATAAAGCAATATAATGGCACCCCTTCATTTTGAACCACTTTCCCCAAATTGTAGTATATCCCCTGAACAGTGACCTTCATAGTGAGGCACACCTTAGGTGAGAGATCCCTTTAGAGCATTTTCTCTTTTCTCTAGAATATTGCTTATCCTAGAACAATCCAGACAAGAATATTATGTGCTAATATATATTCAGCAGAGACCTATCCTAGGAATGGAACATAGCCAGCATTATAAAAGCACATGCTAATGTCCTTCTTGGTCACTTATGCATCCTCCTGTTGAATAGGGGGACCCTGGATTATTTACTTTGGAGGCCAAAAGGTGAATCCGAAAGAACAAATGTGCAGGAGCACAGCTTCCGAGCCACTGGAGAGGAAGCCGAGTTGGTGAGGAAACCAGTCAATGAGGCTGACTTTCAGAGGATGGGAAGCATTTTAACATTGCTGACAGGAGATGGTGCCTTCAGGGAGAGGAGCGGAAGGCACAGCCGTAGAAGGGGGCACAGTAGAGCGGGAACGTGGCCGGTTTGTTTTGCCTGATGAAAGGCTACGCTTTGAGTCATCTCCTGTGTTCCCTCGGCCCATGTTTTTCATTTCTGTATACCCATCAATTAGATCTCAGCAGATTGTAATCAGAGGGGCAGTCACTAAATGGATGAAAGCGGCTCCATGATTATAGCTACTGCTAGATGTGTAATCTATTTGTTCTTGTGATTATTAAGGTTTTTATTGTTTTAAGCTGATTGCCTCCTCTTCTAAAATGTCCTTAATAGTATGCAAACAAGGTCCAGAGAGCATGGAAGCCTAGGAACATATTTTCCTTTGCACCTTATAGTAATCTCACAGTGTGTGGATCCATGGTAGCTTTGCCCTTCTCCCAAAACGTCCACAGTCCATCCACTCAAAATAGTTTGGGACGGCTTTATGTCCCCTCAGCCTTACCAAGAGGGGAAGAGTCATAACCCTGGTTTTGCATTAGCTTCTAAGAAATGCACAGAATGTCATGACTCCGTTTCTCTTCTGGACTAATTCCATTGCCTACCACTGATAAATGACCCCACTGTGGGCGTCTGCTTGTCTACTGTGCAAAGAGCCCCCAGCTAGAGTTCTTGGTGAACTGAACAGGAATCTTCTGACTGACAGTCTTCATGTGCCTCGGTAGCTCTTACAGTGAGTCAGCTCATGGCCAAACACTGATAGGAATCACATACTCTGTATTTTTTTAGACACTCTGTTTAGCAGTATTTTAGGCCAAGTTCAAAGTTATCAGGAATCTTTGTTTTTTCTTTTTTTATTCTTTCTTTCTTTCTTTTTTTTTGTTTTGTTTTTTTGTTTTGTTTTTGTTTTTGTTTTTCGAGGCAGGGTTTCTCTGCAGCTTTGGGACTCTATCCTGGAATTCACTCTGTAGACAATGCTGGCCTCTAACTCACAGAAATCTGTCTGTCTCTACCTTTCAAGTGCCGGGATTAAAGGTGTGTGCCACCACTGCCCGGCTTTGGAGAATCTTGATTGTCGTAATTTTCACACTAATTATGTATTTTGATTTTTAAATCCGAAATAATCATCCAACAGTGAGAGCTAACATAAACAGATATCCATATTAGTAAAGAATGGCCGCAACACCCCATAAACCCAACTACGAGAAGTCCCCAGATCTACAGAAATCGGCAGATGGCTTATGTATTCAATAAATATTTCTTAAATGAATTGGTGCTTTATCTTTTCTGTTAGTGGACAGTTATGGTTAGATTAAACCAAGATTGTACAGCTACAAGCTGTAATCTGAATATGCCTGAGATTCTGAATCCTTCTACGTGTTATGAGTTGCATGTTACATTTTAAAACAATGTCCTCTTTAGGTAATGAGTCCAAAGCCAACAGCTCCAGGTAAGTGATTATTTGAGCTGAAAACACTGTGCCGAGAAGGAAAATAACTGGAATACAGTCTTTTAAACCAGAGCCAGTGACGCGGGCTTTGCTGCCAGTGTTTACAGTATCACACAGAGCCTGCAGCATCAAACACATCCCAGATGTGGAAGGCGAACTGACTGAAGAAACACAAAGTGCTCCCCGGTGGACTGCTGATGGCCCTCTCATAGCATGGGATGCTGCTTCTTCATGTTTTTCTTCCTGGCTTCTTCTGTAGCCCATTTCTAGCTAACACAAAACAAAATACAGAAGCAAGACACCCCTCTTTCCTCCCCCTCCTCTCTCTTCCTCCTCTCTTCTTCTTTCTCTTCCTCCTCATCTTTTTCAGTTATTTATTTTCACTTTGTGTGTGCATGTTTTGCCTGCATGTATTTTTGTATACTATGTGTATGTCTGGTGGCCTGTGAAAGTCAGAGAGGGGCATAGGATTCCCTGGAACTGGGGTTGTGGATGTTTCTGAACTGCCCTGTGGGTGCTGGGAATGATATCTAGGTCCTCTGGAAGGAGACCTAGCACTCTTAACTGCTGAGCCATCTCTACAGCCCTTTCCCCCTTTTCCTGTCTTCTTCCTTCTCTTCTATGCCTCTCTAAGTTAGGGTATCGTGTATTTTAAGCTTTCTTGAACTCACTGTGTAACTGGGGATGAGCTTGGACTTTGGAGCCTTCTGCTTCTACCTCCTAAGTACTGGAATACAGAAGTGATGTACCAGGCATGGTTTATGCAGCCGTAGGCAAGCGCTCTACCAACTAAGCCACACCCCTAGCCCAGTCACTGTATCTTTCAAGGTTTGCAGGCTTCCCAGGTTTTCCACACAGATGCCCACGTCTGCAGCATTGGATTCTCTGTGTTTACTTTCAGCTCTATGTGGCCACAGAAGCCATCCTCATTGCACTGATTGGAGCTACACCATCGTATCACTGGGACATGGCAGAGCTCCTGCCCAACCAGAGCCACAGCAATCAGTCGGATAGCAAAGAACAGGCCTTTGGGGACTGGCTCCTGACCGCCAACGGCAGTGAGATCCATAAGCACGTACATTTCAGCAGCAGCTTCACCTCCATCGCCTCCGAGGTAAGCAGACCACCAGTAGGCCGCCACATTAGCCAGGCGACATGGGGATAAGTTCCGAAGAAGCCTCTCTTTGACTGTAGAATCCTTTTAAAGGTAAATTAAAAACTTGTGTCTCTCTTACTACAAAGCAAGGGGACTACAAGTGGCCTAGCTGTGCCTTCCAGAACTTGTGTTTTGGTCCCATGCTGTATGTAGACACAAGACACCTTGATCACACAAGATAAAGTACAGATGCCTCCCCGAGTATATGCAGGAAACCCTGCTCTGGGGGTCCACTGCTGACCAAGGGACTCTGGTGCAGCATAGACACCAGAGATGAAGCAGTTGAGAGCTGTCTGCCGAGGGTAGCCTTAAGAAATCCTGCTTTGATCTTTGTATCTCCATGGCCCAGTAGCAACTGGTAGCCACCCACCACTAGCCTCTTAAAAAGACAAGTAGCATCATTGATTGTTTACTATAGAGCAGGCATTGTGATATTTTATAGGTTTGTCTTATTTACTCAGAGCAATTTTATGGGGTGGGCTGTTCTCTCCATTTGGCAGATAGAGACACCAAGACTGAGGTCAAGCTTGAATCCTAAGGACAGTGTTGGTATTTAAATAGATTTGTGCTGAGGAGCCTGTGTTCTTCATTCCGTTTCCAAGAAAGAACATGCAGTCTGCATCCAGACTGGGTGCACATGGCTTAGGTTCTTTTCGACTGGTAACCACAGCCAAATATTTTTTCTACTTACCTGAGAATAATTTCAAACTGACAGAGCCGGGAATGTAGCTCAGTAGTAACACGCTTGCCTGTCATATGGGAAGCCCTAGGTTCTATTTTTAGAACTCTTCTCTTCTTGGAGGAGATTCGGGAAGACATAACAGGCCTCTTCTGCCTTATTTTCAGCATGGGATTGTTTGTTTTTCCCAAAGACTTACTCTGCGTCTGCTGTATGCACGCTGTCTCCTCATCCAGACCGCGTGAGTCACACGTGAGCTGTCAGGCTGCTCCTGCCTGGCACCTCCGAGGTCTGTCGGGGTTGATTGAATTGGTAGGTAGAGGTGGCTTCCAGCCTCCCTGTTGTTCTGCAAAGCACCATTCCGGCAAGAACTGGCAACAGAGATTAATGGTTCGTGAGCATGGCTGGGAGCTCAGGCGGATGGCACGCTGGCCACTCACAGGTCTATGCATCACGTTGGGTTCATCTTAATTGTGGTTGACATGCAGCTGCAAGCCAACCCCCACTCCACTTCTTAGCACTGATTCATTTTTGGTTCCCCCTCCACGTTTCAATTGTTTCCACAGTCTTCATTTTGGAAGTATTGCAACAGTCTGTGGTATATGCATAGTCCAAGACATGGCTCTTGGTGAAGTTCTTTAGTCTAAAAATCAACGTTTAAAAGCAAGGTCTTGGGCCAGCATGATAACGATTCAGAGGGTAAAGGCACTTGTTGCTTAGCCTGACGACCTGACATGCTAGAATGAGAAAACCAACTCCTGCCAACTGTCCTCTGACTTTGACAAATGCCGTGGGGCATACATGTCCCCCACCCCACTAAATAAACGCAAATAAAATAAAATAAAATAAATAAGAACTTTCATTTGCCTGTGTAGAGAGAGACCAAGCTAGTGTTTATAGAGCTTTACAGTCTAGGATAATGTGTTAAAACCCACAGGTTATAGCTTCTACCAGCATTTTATTGTACTTCTTCTTGAAGGAACTGTTTTATGGGGGGCTTGCGAAGGGTGAATAAAGGGTTATGTGATTAACACGGTATTTAATTTTTTAAAAATCCTCTAATCCAGGAGTCTTGACTATTCTCAAATGAGCTAATAGCCATTGGGGTGGATTTCTGTGGCAGATTGCTGTCTGCTGTATTCAAATTATTCCCTGAGCTCTGAATCCTACAGAAAACACCAAATATCATGGAGACACACAATTATCATGCTTAATTAATGTTTGCAACCAAAAAGCGCAAGGTTGGAATCTTTAATATCATTGTGGATATTGAAGAGCTGAAGTTGACTGACTATTATCTTGAGATTAATATATTTTTCCTCAAGCAGGACCCTGGGGTCAAAAGACAGAGTATTAAAACTATTTGAAATATTCGCTGCAATTAATTGCTGCCGGGGCTAATTTTTTTTTAATGTCTTGCTTCCTTACGCCTGTGCTACTGATTGTTATCGCCTGCACACTTCACCCATTAAGTGGTAATTCAGAGTGACAACTACATGGAAATGAAGCGAGTTAGTTAATCACCATGAAACCGCTCTGGAAATGCCCTGTCCAAGTACTCTTCAGTGGCGGGAGCGCTCACTGCCTGATTGGCTCCCGGAGGGAGGCTCCCTGCACAAAGCTATTTGTGATTTTCTTTTTTTTTTTTTTATTATGGAGAAGACAAGGGCAAAGGGGTCGGTAAGGATGTTTGTGTGGACTTGTTATCAGTACCTGCTCAAGGTCCTGGAGAGCCCTCAAGGTCGTTCTTCAGGCGTTTTAGGGAGCTGCTGTTGGCTCCAGCAGGGCAGTCTTGAGATACCCACAAGATAAGAGTCTGGCCTGCAGAAGTGGTCTCTGTAGTTTGGTTTTTCCCCAAGTGTGACTTCAAGCCGCAGGGAGCTGTATCAGTGAGCATAGGCCAGTCTTGTTTACCCTTGTTTAGGTGGCCTGCCATAGCAACCAGGGACATTAGCTACCTTTGTCTTCCTTTGCGTTTTGACCTGGTGGGCTGAACAGCCACCGCTCTGCCCCCATTTCTTGGAATGCTGAAGAGGTACTTGTGAAATATACTGAGTCCCAGCACAATCCACCAGAGAGTCATGGTCCCATCGGCTGAGGGGTGGCATGGCTCTCAGGCCAGCTGGAGTCATTGCTCGCTGCATGCTCATGGCCATTGTTCTTAGTAGAAATCTTTGTTCACTAATGAACAGGCTTTCACGAGCTAAATTAAAACACAGTGTTCTTTAGACGTCAGATTGGGTATTGAAAGGATAGCCCCTCAAATTCCAAATGTCTCCCATACTTCGTTTGATGAGAATGCCACCCAGTGGCTCTGAAGTAAAGATAGTCAGGTAGTCTCTGGGTACTCATAAACCCTATCCTAAGGCTTGACGCAATGACACCACAGTGCTGTCGGTGTGAGGCCCGGTAGCACAGGTTGGAATCCCAGCAGTCAGGGAGCAGAGGCAGGAGGAGCACTGCCGGTTCAGGGTCAGCCAGAAACAAGAATCTACTGTTTGTGAAGATGCTCACTCGTTGCATACATAATTCAGTGAGTGTTAATTAGTGCCGGCAGGCGCTGTAAGATTAGCACGCGGGTTACAAATGTGCCCTCAGGAAGCTCAGTGTCATTTGGGAGAGACCAGGGAACACATGGCCCACTGCATCATGCAGAGGAAAGTGTGGGACGATATGGCAGGGAGGAGAGACGGTCAACTCCACCGGGGAGTGTCAGTCAAGCTGGGATGTGGACATTGTTACAGAGGATGAAGTGCAGCAGGAGGAAGCTGGCTCTGTGGGGAGAGGGAGGCCGGGGCCTACCTATGTACAAAGAATGGTTAGTTCCCGACAGGAGTCAGGCTTTCTGGCAGAAATGGAAATGTTTGCTTCCCTCCGGGTGGCCATGCTCTCACCTGGGCTCCTGCCAGGCAGGTCATGCATCACTCACCTGCCCTGGGCCTCCTTGGAGGAGGGAAATGATCTATACTTGTCAAAACCTACTATGCACAGCTTTTACTTACCACATACGGCTCCTGTGTTGAGATCGTGTGTCTCAACTACTTCCATGAAATGCCACCATAAACTAAGAGGATAAGTAGAAGAGAATAGGCCGTTTAGGCCACAAGGGGAACACTAAGCAGATAGACCTGTGACTTTCCTGATTGGCTGAGAGTCAGGCTGCCCACACTGAAGTTCTCAAAGCTAGCAGAGAGGTCCTTCTGCTCCCCCCAGATCGCTAGGAGTATGCTTGCTGGAGAGGCATGCGCTGCCGTGTCCGTGCTCTGGGGCCGTCTGGGAGCACGGGGCAGTCCGGGAGCGTGGGGCGCTCCGGGAGCGTGGGGCGGTCCGGAAGCGTGGGGCGCTCCGGGAGCGTGGGACGGTCTGGGAGCGTGGGGCACTCCGGGAGAACGGGACAGCCCAGCAATACGCAATGTGGAAGGAAAAGCGGGCATCTGGGGCCAGTGTCATGTGGAGACCTGAGTATAGCACACAGACTGCAAGTCGGTGTCACAAACCCAGCACCAAACCAGAAACTGCATTGGGCATCTGCATTTAAGACATACACACCACAGACTGAGGCACACCCTGGGGCATAATCCTAGCCGAATATGAAAACTTACAGTAAAAAGTGCTATGGAATGTAACTCCAAAGCATTGTCATGTTTGCCCCCCTGTCAATCTTCTGTTTTCTGAGCAGAGGGCACAGAGCATCTACTGCCTTTCTCTCTCTTCCTTTCCAGCAATACCTTATACTTTTCCTCTAAGTCAATGCTTCTCAGCCTGTAGGTCACGACCCCTTTGAGGTCAACTGACCCTTTTACCGGGGTCATCTAAGACCATCAGGAAACACAAATATTTGCATCATGATTCATAACAGTAGCAAAATTACAGTTACAAAGTAGCAATTCAAATAATTTTATGGTTGGAGGTCACCACAATGCAAAGAACTGTATTCAAGGGTCACGGCCCTAGGGAGGTGGAGATCACTGCTCTAAGTTACAGGACCTGCTTATCCCTACTTTCCTTCCGATGGCTGATTTTCCCGCATGTTTCCCGAGTAGAACAAATGCTGAGGGCTAAAAATAGAAAGTCTTTCCCCAGTATATTGTCGAGTCTGTGCGAAGGGAGGCTGTGGGGACAGGAGGAGAATAATGTGTAGAAGTCGGTTGGATAATTATCTAGCTGTAAACTGTGCAGCCTGCCTTTTGACAGCTCTTTGATGTCTGTATTTCTCATTACTTGGCTGCTAACTTTGCTTTTCGAATTATGCCTTAGCACGGAGTCCATTTTAGGGAAGTGCATTGTTTTTCTTCCAGATGACCATATTTCTGCCACGTCAGAGAAATCATTGCTTCAACTTGACATCTCCATAAAGATGAAGGCTTGATGAATTGAGGACATGTTGAAGACACATCTATGGCCCCCTTTAAAACTCACCACTAAGCTTTCTTCCACGTTTGGTTGGCGTCATCCGCTCCAGCAGGCATTAGTAATTCTTATCCCAAGATAACACAGCCTCTCTGGACACCAGGTCTCCATGCCTAGCTTGAGTCCGCTCTCTTCTAGAGGCCCCCATCCTGCCCAGGTCAGCCTAGGCTCACTCGCAGCCTTGGACGAGCCTTCCCACTGTCTGCTTGCCATCTCCATTCCATACTCTGCGTCGCAGCCAGGGTAGGTTTGTCCTCCGTGGATCCGTACGTAAGTCCCGTATTGGGACACCCATCTCATCTCAGCCTTTAAACCAGTAAGGATGAAGTCTGAACAAAATCCTCTCCCAAATATGTCAGTGGTAGCCGGCCAAGAGTCGGTCTGTCTTCTCTCTCATCACCTCTGCTCTCCCACCTTTCCTCCCCTTCAAAGAGCTGGAAGGCTCTGCTGAGCACCTGTGCGAGTCCCGCAGCTGTGCGAGTCCCGCGGCTGTGCCAGCCATGTTTATACTCCTTTCAGCCTTTATGGCGGGGGCACCTGCTCTTGTTTCTGCCCTGAATTATGCCTGACCCGTTTTCTGTAGAGTGAACGAAGATGTCTCTTTTTACCACTAGGCCCTTCCAGTCCATTTTGAAATAGAATATAATAAAATACTCATAGGGTCTATTTAGTGATTAGAGAAGACATATCTATAAAAGTAGATGTCTGTTGGCTTAGTCAGGTAAACATGAGAGGCTAAAAATATTTGTCTTTTTAGTCTTCCTTTCCTACTAATCCATGTGAAGAGAAAGCGGGATTTTGCATTTTGATTTGCAAGTGATTTTTTTTTCAATTTGAAATGAATTAGTATAAAAAGAACATTCACTCTCACTGCTTTAGAATTTGGCCTTCAATTAACAACAACAAAAAAATAATAGGAGAGTCACTACTTTAGTAATCTCTAGCCAATAAGAAATGAGTGACTTACACATTTTGATTTTTAAAATCTGAAGATTCATGAAAATGTTTCTGGAGAATGTCAGAGTCACAATTATATTTTGATTGTTATAGCTTAATTTCTTATGTCCTGGTGATTTCCTGGTTTGGATTTTACCTTGGTACTAAATAACAACCACAGAGTCAAAGAATGAGCTAGCGACTGATGGTCTTCCAAGCCACTCCACGCATTGTGTTAAGATACAAGGATCATCTCTTACTGCATCTTAGATGAGTTTGGACAAAGTAAAACCATTCTAATCACACGATAGCTAAGTAATAAGAATTAACTGATGCTTTAGAGGAGTTGAAAACAAAATATGTAAACCAGAGCCAGGGTAGGGCTGTGGAAAACTTCTGTCAGCTGATGTTCCTGAACACTCACTCCCCCGTGCCTCAGCGCTGAATTCATGGAGCTCTGCTCGGGAGAGACCCCAGACTCTAGCTAGCCACTCTCGAGTTAGCTTTGCAAAAATCTGCTTTTCCGCCTTTATGCTCATTCTTGAATGTAGTCCAGGAGAAATGGGAGGGTGCCTTAGCCTAACCAGCACTGACTCGGAGAAAAATTAGTAGAAATTCCTTTCACACTTGGAACTGGCAGCCCGAGAAGCAGGATTTGGAATTTGCTGGTTAGCCATCCCTTGGGCCATTTCTTCAGAAAATCCTTGTCCAAGCTGACAGCTATTCAGTTGCTGAGGGATGGCACTGTAGCCTTCTTAGCGGCTATGAGAAATCTGGTAAGTACAGTCAATGGACTCGTCGTTTCCTCCTGACTGACAGACCTGACTCCCTGTCCACCCGAGTATCCTGGAAACAGACTGGAATCCTAAAGCACAGAGAAATTAAGACTAAACTTTCAAGCCAGTTTTTAAAAGCGTTTAAGCCTGAGCATGAAGGGCAGGATGGATATAGCAAGTGTTTGAATTAAGAGGTTAATTGCACTTAAGAGCCATTCCATTTGGCCCTGTTTCGTCTGTCACGGGAGCAGGGCTGTCTCTGGGATGGATGCTGAGCTGGCTTCTCTAGGACAACATGGCAGCTAACGTCTCATTTTCCCATTTTGGAATATGTCACCCTCGTTATTCCTTCCGCATTAAACATCCGTCTACAGAACTACCAGTGTATCCAAAACGAATTAACTTTCCGCAAAGCAAAATTCTTCTTCAAATGCCAGAGCTCTCTTCATCTCTCTCTTATATGAAATTCTAGCACGTATTATAGCCCTGTCTGTCATGATCCTTAGAACGGACTTATCGAGACCTTCATCAACCCAGGCTTATAGGAGATACAGAGCAAGGAGAGAGATTAGATGTGCTTCTGAGGCCCCAGTGAGTCGTCAAAGCCTGGGGAAGGGGCAAAATAAAAAAATAAAAACACAGACAGGCACCCAGAAAAGTGCCTCCTTGTGCCTTCTCAGTGAGAAGGGCTCTTAGGTGGCTCCGCAAGGGGGCTAGGAAGAGAAAAGGCACACCTTTGCGTCCTCTGAGGGTCCACCTCTGGGGCGTGCTTTACTGCCCTTCACTGGTGACCGTCACTGGCTAGGATGTCAGAAAATGGTGCTGAGCAGAGTGAGGCTGCCTTGTGCTGAAGTAGATCACAGCCCTCTGGGACGTTTTCATCGTGCTAAAGATGCATGGCACAAAGGTTGCCATTTTAGTGTTTAAGTGTGCAATTCTGTGGCCTTAATATATTCACATTATTCTGCAACCATCACTGTGGTCTGTCTCCAGAATGTTTTTATCATTCTACATGGAAAGTCTGTTCTCATTAAACAGTGACCCCCTTCCCCCTCTTCCCCTAACCCCTGGAACCACTGTTCTCTGGGAAGCTCACTCTTGCAGATATACCTCAGATGACTAAAGTCATGCAACATTTATTCCTTCTAGCCTGGCTCGTTTCTATAACGTCTGAAGTTCATCCAGGCTGTAGCCCCAATCAGATTGCATTAGTTATAAAGGTTGAGTAATATTTTATTTACGTGAGTATGGCATTCTACTTGTCTATTGATCTGTTGATTGACGCGGGTTACTTTCACTTTGATTATTGGAAAGATGATGTGTTAACCTGGGTGTTGACAGAGAACCTGAATTTAGAATATGCTGCTCATGGATACTCACCCAGAAGAGAATTGCAGGATCTAAATTTGTGTTATTTTTCTGTGCCCAAATGTTTTGCCTGCATGTATGTCTGTACAGAGCTCTCAGAAACAGAAGACAGCATTGAATCCCCTGGAACCAGAGCTACAAGACAGTTGTCAGCCACCATGTAGGCCCTGGGAAGCAAACCTCTGTCCTCTGCAAGAGTAACCAAGTGCTCTAAACCTTTTGGGTCATCTCTCCACCTCCCTCTCCCATTTTAATATTTTGAGGAATGTGTTCAAGGAAGTTTAAATATACTAATCTGCTAAACAAAAGATTTATTCGTTGACTACTTCATATGTGCCATGTGATGTCTAAGCATCAGAAAAATGGAAATAGAACAAGGCTTCTCCTCTCTGGACACTGCCAAGGAGGACTTGGGATAAGGCCACAGTCAGCAGTCACACGGGTAATTAGCACCTGAGTGCTGTGTTTAGTTCTGTTAGGAGTATATGAAGAATATTCTAGAAGTATACCGTAGCATCAGTGGTTCCCAGTGTTTCTGAAGCTGTCTCCTTGGATGTTGTCTATGGTGAATATTGTACCAGATCTTGGCTAATGGTGACGGACGCGGTGGAGTTCCAGTGTCTGAGTCTGTGTTGGATACTAGGCTTATTAGTTCTGTGTATATATTGTTCTCTGTGGCCTAAATGGACGCCTCGTGTTTTTTTTTTTTCTTCTAGTGGTTTTTAATTGCCAGCAGATCTTATAAAGTCAGTGCGGCCAGCTCCTTTTTCTTCAGTGGTGTGTTTGTTGGCGTCATCTCCTTTGGTCAGCTTTCCGATCGCTTCGGAAGAAAAAAGGTCTATCTCACAGGTAACCTGTCACCACGCCCTTGCACTGAATAAGAGGTTTCGTTTCCCTGATACTCTTAGGAAATAATAAGGTATCCTTCAAGTTCTCTGAGTCCTCAGGTGGACAGAACTTCTGTTAATACACTGGCGAGAGGCCACACTGCAGCCAGCCATGGCTCTGGCCAAGTGGTTTTCCGGAACGAGCTTATTTCGGTTAAAATACATTTTTTTTGACAATGCTTTCTACAACCCCCAAATCTAAGCACTGCCCTGCTTCTAAAGAGAGCAGTGGAAGATTGCCACAAGATTGCCGCAGCTCCCCTTCCTTTGCCTGCATCTCCCTGTGTTGGTTTATTTCACGTGTGCTCTATAGGCTTTGGCGTAGCGGTCTTGACAGGCAGAGTACGAGCGAGGATTTTCCTCTCCTAGCGTTATTATGAATAACTGAAAAGGGTGTGTGACTGACAGAAACTGTAAAACAAAGAAAGCAACCCTGGCTTTTCTTTGTAGTTTTCAGGGCAAATTGTTAGTGGGGAAATGAACAACATAGCTCAGGACATTTATGTTTGCAAAGGTTTGTTTTACAAACTGATGAATAGAATTTATTTATTTTTTTCAAATGCTGCTTTGCTTCTGGGTCATTGAATATTGTTCCTCTCTTCCCAGGTTTTGCTCTTGACATCTTATTTGCTATCGCAAATGGATTTTCCCCCTCCTATGAATTTTTTGCAGCGACTCGCTTCTTGGTGGGCATGATGAATGGAGGAATGTCCCTGGTGGCCTTTGTCTTGCTCAATGAATGCGTGGGCACTGCCTACTGGGCACTTGCAGGTACTGCATCACTTGGTGCCGCTCTGGGTGTGAGTGCCTCTGGGAAGCCATGCTGGGAACCAGCTTAACCAGAGTCTGAAAACACACTTGAACTTGAGGCAGTTCGTATCTCCAGGTTGAGTATTCCTTACCCTAATGCTGGGGGCCAGAAGTGTTCCACATTCCACATTTCTATGCATGACGAAATACCTTGGAGATGTGGCCCAATTCTAAACACAAAATGCATTTCCATTTCACAGATGCTTTATGCACACAGCCTGAAGGTGATGTTGTGCAGTATATTTAGGTCTCTATTTTGGGCTCAGACCATCACAACCAAGGTAAAATATGGATTTTTTCACTTGAGGAACGGTGTTAACTCTCAAAATGTTTCAGATTTTGGACCATTTGGAATTTTTTTTTTGTGTGTGTGTGTGTGTGTGTGTGTGTGTGTGTGTGTGTTAGGGATGCTCAGCCTGCTCAGACTTGCCTTCTCCAGTGTGTTCTCAGGATGCCAGCGATCATGTTATCATGTTCACATTCTTTGGCCTGCCTCACAGACGGTGTGGTGGCCACCCACCTCATGACCTGTCTGCAGATGACTGGGAGTGTCCTAGTTCTCAGAACAGCATTCATCACTTTCCTCTTCCCCTGGGAAAGAGTGCAGGGCGGAAAACACTGGGTGTTTTCCGCATCCTATGGACCCTTACTTATTTCATGGATTTCCTCGTTTTCACTCCTCTCTCTGGTCACTAGAGGGCATTGGTGTAGCATTTCTTACTGAGGCTGAATTTCTAAGTCGAGGCCATATTCTATATTATTTCTAATCATTCCAACTAATGTACTCTTAACGCCACACATACACCAAAAAGAATTACTTGAAATTTTTACATTTATTTATTTCACGTGTGTATATGTGTTCACACACACACATGTGTGAGCACACGGACTCGTATGCGCATGGTCAGAGGACATCTTCAGGAGTCAGCTCTCTCTCTCTCAGCCCCGTGTGGGACTTGGGATTGAACTCAGATCATCAAGCCTGGACAGCAAGCACCTTTACCCACTGAGCCATCTCACTAGCCCTTTGAGAGGTCATCTTAGGTAGAGTTTCTATTGCTGTGATAAAACACCATGACCAAAATCAACTTGAGGGGGGGTAAGCGTTTATTTCACCTTATTATTTATAGTCTATCATCCGGGGAAGCCAAGGCTAGGACTTAAGGCAGGGAGGAACTGAGGAAGAGCCCATGGAAGGGTGCTGCTTATTGGCTTGCTTTTGATGGCTTGCTCACAGCACCCAGGACCACCAGCCTGGGGGGGTCATGTCCCACAGTGATCTGGGACTCCTCATATCAATCACCAATCAAGAAAATGCACCGCAGGCTTGCCCATAGGCCAGTCTCGTAGGGGTGTTTTTCTTAGTTGAGGTTCCCTCTTTCAAAATGACTCTAACTTGTGTCAAGTTGACTTAAAAACTGGCAAGAATAGAGGTTGGGGACTGGAGAGATGGCCCAGTGAGTAAAGTGTTTGCTGAGTTCAGATTCCCCACCCAGGCATGACAGTATGTCTGTCCCTTCTGCTAGAGAAATGGGAACAGTAGATCCCTGGGGCTCGCTGACCAGCGAGATGAACTGAAGTGCCAAGGTCCTGATTCAGTGAGAGACCCTCCCTGTTCCAGACTATAATGTGGAGAGCAGTAGAGGAAGACATGTCAGCCTCTGACCTTCACATGCACAGGGACATGCACCTGCACACACACACACATCCCTACACCATACACACACTCAGACACATGCACACACGTGCATGCACACACATAGACACACACATTATGTGACTTCAAATATCGTCTGAGAATGCCTGTCTAAACATCTACATCTTAGATTATAAATTTGCTCTGATAACTTTTTAAGATTTAAAAAAAAACTTTCATTGACTTAGAACTAATTCACTTATTTAAAATATTTCAGATTGTAATTACATTTCTTCTTTCTCCCCAAACCGTCTCATATGCTTCTCCCTATTCTTCTTCAAATTCATGCCCTCTTTTTTATTAGATGTTATTGTATGCACATATGTATGTATGTGTGTATGTATGTATTGGCATACATATATATTGGATTTTTATTCAAAATGCAGAGGAAGGTCTTGGAGCTTATGTTAGGGACCTCATACAGAAAGATTGTCCTCATTGGTCGGTGACACCAGAGAAGAGAAATATACACTGTGGGATCTTTCAGGGACTGTGTGAGCCCGGTGGTGGTTCAGGCAAGGTGGGGGCTATAGCAGAGAAAGAGGGGGAAGACTGAGTTGGATTTGGGTGGCCATGACCTGGAGAGGAGTCAGCAGAGAGAGGGAGAGAGAGGCCTAAGGGAGACTTTAGGGTTTGGGTCTGGAAACTGGGACAGTCACTGGTGCCTTTCACATAATAAAGTCAGAACTAAACAGTATTTTCTGATCTGCCGACATTTAGCCAGGTTCTCACTGAGCAGGGACAGGAGACTTGCAATGTTTAAGAAATAAGTGGCAAACCAATGTGAATGGAAGCATAAAGGCCCCCCAGGTACATAGACATTAAGTGAACTATACATGGCATTCCAGAATTATAATAAAGGACTTGAAATACCAAATTTTTCATGGTTTCAGCCAAATTTCCCAGAAGGACCTTCTTATCTGCCGCTCTTTGCCTTATGCCTGCATTGACGCCACCGTCTGGACCCCTCCCTCTGTTGTCATCACACTGTGTAAGGTCGCCAAATGACAACATATCTTTGAATCATCTCCTCTTGCCCACCATGTCCTTTTGGTGGTACCTTCTTCCATTGGCTGTGGCAGAGTTTAGCTCTAAAGAGGCAGATCCAGGGCAAGCATTTGCTCAGCATTTCACGACAGTGCGGCTTTGCTTCGGAGGTTTCTGAAACCAGGAAGTCTGGTGTTTTCCACCTCTGCTCTTCATCCTCTCCGAAAACTTTCTCAGTTGGAGATGAGACCCAGAAGTTCCTAGGGCAGTTTTTGAAATTACAAGTTCTGATTGGTCAAGATAAGGTTACTCTTACAGCTAAGGGAACTGTGATCGGTTCTCTCGAGCTACACAGCCAGCTCTCCAGGATAGTGTGGTTGAGAGGTTGACATTAGAAAGGAAAGTAAGGCAGAACCATCTTCTAGAGTGGATGCTCATAACCAGAGGCTTCCAGATGTCCTCCCTGCCCCGCCCTGATTAATGGCGAGAGAGTGTAAACCCAAACCCACACTGTGATAGGGTGCTGTGGTAGCTAACGCAATTGTCAGCTTGGTGTGTCAGGAAATACTTCAGTGAGCACACTCTGGGGCATGTCAGAGACTAACTGAGGAGCTACGACCCACCCTGAAGAAGGTGGCACCAGCCCATGGGCTAAGGGTGCAGGCTGAATAAAGAGGAAAGCAAAAGAGAAATGAGTGCCAGCATTCACCTCTCTGCTTCCTGCTGTGCCCAACCGGGAGCAAGCATCCTGACATTCCCACAGCCATGCTTCTCCACATGACGGACTCCAACCCTCTCGGAGTTACTGCTTCCTGTCAAACACATCACCACGGCGAGGAGAAAGGCAGAGAGACCACGAGCATAGCATTGTGTGACAAGCCTTAATTTGAGGAAATATTGGTAACAAAAACTACCTTTTGAGATCAGTGTTGTTATGTTTCGGTGATGAGAAGATGGAAGCTCACGAAGACAGTGACTTGTTCAAAAACACACTGCTGCACAGTGGCTCTCAACCTTCAGTACAGTTCCTCATGCTGTGATGCCTTCCAACCATAAAACTGTTGTTGTTGCTACTTCATAACTGAAATTTTGCTACTTTCTGGGTCATAATGTAAATATCTGATAATGCGGGATATCTGATATGTGACCCCTGTGAAAGGATCGTTTGACCCCAAAGGGGTCGTGACCCATAGGTTGAGAACCACTGCTGTAGGATTTGGCAAAACTCAGGTTTCAACTTGATCCCTCTGAAACCAGCCTGTCCTGTCCCCCGACTGTGTTCCTTTTGTGTGTGTCATCATAGGTGAATACTGCGTGGCTGGGGAGCCTTGTCCTTGGAAGCCAGCCAGGTGCTATTTGATGCAGTATAATAAATCCAAACAGCTATTGATTGTCTTAAATCTCCAGGGGACTCCATACTGTCTCTATTCCTTTACTTGCTGAATTGCTACACACACACACACACACACACACACATACACACACACACCCTTTGGCTCTTTCTTTTCCTAGACAGGGTAAACAGTATATTAGTCATCTTGTGTCATACAGTGATAAGCTCTGAATGGTGATCAAAGAAAACATTTGCTTATAAGATCGTCATAGAAAAATTAAGATGAAGACAAGAAAAGCCCATCCAAAAGCCGCCTTTCCATAGAAACAAGAAAGGAGAAGGGAGTGGCTCAGAATGCCAGTGGACCTTGTACAGAGCCGGGCTTTGCCAAGTACAGCACACTGTGTCGCAGACACCTGCCCTGACCCTCACGCTGTTCTATTGCTTGCTCTGACTATGAGAGTTTGAGCTGTGGAACCCACATGGTGGAAAGAAGGAGCCAGCTACCACAAGTTGTCTTCTGACCTACTGAAGTGCACCGTAGCACCGTGACACACATAAGCCACACACATAGAGACACACGTACCATAAATACAAATAGAATAAACCTTAAAAAAAAGAAAAAAAGATTAAGACCAGCATTGCTGGAACTGCATGACTTGAGAGTCCCATCACCCACATTGAAAAATACCTCCAGCTTCAGCCATAGATGCAGGCAGAAGTCAGGGCAGCAACCAGTCCAGACAGCACCTGGCAGAAGCTTTGCACTCCATCCTGTCTACACCAGCTGCCCTTCCTCCAGTTTACAGGTTTCTGGCCCCTCTTGGTGTTATAAATTGAAGCTGGGCGCCTGCATAGCCTTTCCCTGTGTTCTGCCGCACACATTAATAGGGCAGGACTGATGACTCAAAGGAGGGCCTGCACACTGATCAGGGCGGGAAAGGGTGCTGTGGGTGGTCTTCGCCAGTGACAATTCTCTTTCCCTGCATTAGGATCCATCGGCGGTCTCTTCTTCGCTGTTGGCATCGCACAATATGCCCTGTTAGGATACTTCATCCGCTCCTGGAGGGCCCTAGCTGTTCTGGTCAACCTTCAGGGAACAGTCGTCTTTCTCTTATCGTTGTAAGTAGACTTTTCTCGTGGAATTTTTGTTGCACAAACAGAAGTATCTTAGAAGGATATGAGTGAGCAAGTAAGCAGCGTCTCTCCTTTCAAGAGCTTGCCTGCAGTGAATTCTGGGAAGAGCTAAACTGCAAACGCTCAGTTCTTGTCAGCTCCTTGGAAGAGAGAGATGCTATTTAGTTATCTTAGGATGCAGGTGTCTCATGTTTAGAGTCATCAACTGCATTTGGCCTTCAGGGGATGGACATTCCTTTCTTTTCTCCTTCCTTCCTTCCTTCTTTCCTTCCTTCCTTCCCTCTCTCCCTCCCTCCCTCCCCCCCCCCCTTTCTCTCCCTCCCCTTTCTCCCAGTGTCTTAATCTTAAAGCTCTTCCATCCAGATCTGGCCATGTGTGCAGCCGAGATCTGACGCTGCTGTGGAGCTGAACATGTGTCCACAGCTGTTCCTCTTACAGGAGTCTCAGTTCAGGGCCCCTAAGTGCAAAGTCCACATGAGATCCCTTGTCAGCAGGAGAGTTCCGAGCAGTACCAGAATGATTCCCCAGCCAGGGAGAACTCCAGTTCCCAAGCCGGGGTGAACTCCAGTTCCCAAGCCAGGGCGAACTCCAGTTCCCAAGCCAGGGTGGGTGCCACAAACAGTGACCCAAGTGTCACCTTACGGTGCTTGGCCCCACCTTCGGTCTACCTAACCAGCTTTAATGTGGCCAGCGAGCGCTGTTTCTTCCCTACAGCATCAGACTAAAATCTTTTGTGTAAACAAGAATTTCATCCAGTGATATCTGGGGTCTCTTTCTTTTGTGACTTAAAGTAAAACAGACCTGTGGTAGTATCTTAATTTCAGTTGCTCTGAAATTTGATAGCCCTTTCTTCAGTTTCTAAGTTGAGGTTTGGTGGGATCTGAACCTGAAATTCTCTTCCACGGTGTCTTTGAGAACAAGAGAACTGTTAAATGCAGAAATGAACATAACAGAATAGTTAACCTGTATTTTAAAAAACTCCATTAAAGGATTGAGTTTTGTGAGCTATAGCGAGGTAGTTTTATTATTATAAAGGGAAATAACAATTTATTAGCTTGCACATTGGACATTTTTGAAAGTAATGAAAGTGTGCTTCACATAGTAGATGGAGTTAATAAACAGTCATGTAAATATTGGTGAGTAAATGAGTTTTCTTTTCAAATATTTAACAAAGCTCATGCTCCTGCAACTAGCCTGGCTCTCATGACTCCTTCAGTCCAGGCAAATTCAATGCGTGATGTGAGCCATTGGCCCTTTCTCTCTGAGTCTGCAGTCTATGTTAGTTACTGCTGAGTGTAGATGAGGAAATGGTCTCACTGAGAGATGAATTCAGGACATGAATAATAGAAAGGAGGGAAACGGACTCATGAGTTCTAAAAGTATTCCCACTCTCAAATGTCATTTTCAATATGATTGGTGAAGTCTTGGGTTTTTATTGCTAATTAATATGACCACTGTTGGCCACAGGCAATCATGCCAGGATTTTGATATGCTTCCTGCTGGTTCTTTTTCACTCCTTCCAGTTCTGCCCCATTTAAATTTTGTTTTCATGTGTTTCTGTATATAGGCAGGTCAGCTGTCTTCTTCAAATCCTTTTTATTTATATTAAGAATAAATTAAATAATTGTTCACAGTAGCTCTATATTGTACATAGTAGTTCTATATTGTGCACAGTAGCTCTGTATTGTACACAGTGGCTCTATATTGAAGGCGTAAGTCATAAACAATGCCACACCAGTTTGGAATTATGATTAATAGGGTGATATTTATTTAAAGGGGAAAAAACTTACAGATCACCATCAGCCCTCTGCGCAACCAGGAAGGGAGTCTAGTTGCCGGAGGAGCAGGAAGTGAAGAGAGAGAGGAGAGGGAAGTGGCTGCTTTTTTAAAGGGAGAGAGACCACGCCCCAATGGGCTGGTATCTCAGCAGCGAGAGGCTGGAAGAGTGGGAGGACCTCCCGTAACACTATATTGTACACAGTGGCTCTATATTGTGCACAGTAGCTCTATATTGTACACAGTGGCTCTATATTGTATACATAGCTCTATATTGTACACAGTGGCTCTATATTGTGCACAGTAGTTCTATATTGTACATAGTAGCTCTATATTGTATACGGTAGCTCTGTATTGTACACAGTAGCTCTATATTGTCCACAATAGTTCTATATTGTATACGGTAGCTCTATATTATGCACAGTAGCTCTATATTGTATGCAGTAGCTCTATATTGTACACAGTAGCTCTATATTGTACACAGTAGCTCTATATTGTACGCAGTAGCTCTATATTGTACGCAGTAGCTCTATATTGTACACAGTAGCTCTATATTGTACACATAGCTCTATATTGTACACATTAGCTCTATATTGTATGCAGTGGCTCTATATTGTACACAGTAGCTCTATATTGTACGCAGTAGCTCTATATTGTACAGAGTAGCTCTATATTGTATACATAGCTCTATATTGTACACATTAGCTCTATATTGTATGCAGTGGCTCTATATTGTACGCAGTAGCTCTATATTGTACACAGTAGCTCTATATTGTATACATAGCTCTGTATTGTACACATTAGCTCTATATTGTATGCAGTGGCTCTATATTGTACGCAGTAGCTCTGTATTGTATACAGTAACTCTATATTATGCACAGTAGCTCTATATTGTACTCAGTAGCTCTATATTGTACACATAGCTCTATATTGTATACAGTGGCTCTATATTGTATACAGTGGCTCTATATTGTACACAGTGGCTCTATATTGTATACAGTAGCTCTGTATTGTACACAGTGGCTCTTTATTGTATACAGTAGCTCTATATTGTACACAGTAACTATATTGTACACGGTGGCTCTATATTGTGCACAGTAGCTCTGTGTTATACATGGTGGCTCTATATTGTGCACAGTAGTTCTATATTGTGTACAGTAGCTTCCAAAGAACAGTGTTGACTTGGTTGTGTACTTACTAGTCAATAACAATAATTAAATGCCAACAAGGAGGTGACTAAAGGATTTCACCAGACATTATAGGTGACTTTGATTAATAGTCCAGTGTTTTGCATGAGTGTCCTTGTCCCCAGTGGGTAAGTTCTGTGAAAGCTCCTTTTTGTCCCAGCACCTTTCCTCTCAGCACCTGTCATACTGCTCTGTGTAAAATGGAAATGCTCACGGAGTGGCTATTGACAGAACGACTGTCTAATGAGCTTCTGGATCCTGTAGTTTTATTGCTCACTATCCTTCTTGAGAAGTATCGGGAATTTGAGAAAACAGTAATCTTGTTCTTCAGATTTTTACTGAAGGCGGAGTGTCAGATTAGATTTTTTAAAAATAATGTGATTTGGTTTTGTGTTTAGTGAGGAAGAAAGACTTCTAGGCTGCAAAGATAGCTCAGTAAGTAAGAGTGCTTGCTTTGCACACCTGAAGACAAGTTCAGATCCTAGTACCCACATAAAGGGCAGAGTGTGGCCACATGCCCTGGTAACCCAGCACCGAGGACGGCAGAGAAAGGAGAGACCATACTAGTTCCGGGTTCAATGAGAGACTCTGCCTTAAAGGAATAAGGCAAAGAGTGAACAGATTAGAGGACCTGACATTCTCCTCTGGCCTCTAAGAGCACAGCATATGAACTGGTGCGCACACATGCACAGGCACACACGTGCACACATGCGCACACACGTGCATACATGCACGTACACACATACACACTCTAAGTTTTTTTAAAAGGGCTTTCATTCTGTCATGGTTTTGTCTTTGGGACAAAACCTCTTTAAATGTTTGCAGAATGGTGAAGCAAATCTACAGAGTATCTAAATTTTGAAACTGTGAAGGCGCTAGTGGCATCCCACAAAGTGGTTCAACATTCCATGGCTGTGTTAGGAAACCCCTGTTGTTTTGTAACTAGACCTTACCCGGGAAGTAATTGTATTCTTTACAGTCTTGGTGAGACAGGAAAGGTCCTCAGGACACTCTGAAGCTGGCACATTGGATTACAGAAGTGGCAAAGATGTGTTATACCATGTCATGCTTCTGTGTAGTCTAAAACTAACATCTCTCTCCTAAATAACATGCCATTAAGTTAAAAATACCTTTGAAATGTTTTGTTTGATTAGATAATAAAAATTTCTTTCTTTGTTTTTTTGTGGGTTTTTTGTTTGTTTGTTTGTTTGTTTGCTTTTGGTTTATCAAGACAGGGTCTCTCTGTGTATCTTTGGCTGTTCTGGAACTCACTCTGTAAAGTAGACTGGCCTCGAACTCACAGAGAGCTGCCTGCCCCAGCCTCATGAGTGCTAGGTTTAAAGGCGTGCACTATCACGCCTGGCTGATAATGAAGACTTCTGTCTCAATGGGAGATTTTCCAGAGCTTAAGAACCCAGTTGATTAGGCATGGTGGTACATGTCTGTAATCCCAACACTCTGGAATGTCTTAAATTCAGGACTATCCTGGACTATGTAGCTAAGGCCAAACTGTTCTACATAGGGAGACCATGTCTCAGGAAAAGAAAAAGCAAAAACATAAACCAAGGCTGTGCCTACTGCTGTGTTGTCTACCAGCGTGTAATGGGGATGCAGAGTGTGCCTCATCTCTGACCTATGCTTGTGAGGAATGTGCATCATACAGTACTGTAGAGGCAGGTGGATCTCTGTGAGTTCGAGGCCAGCCTGGTCTATGAGAGCTAGTTCCAGGACAGCCAGGACTGTTACACAGAGAAACCCTGTCTCAAAAAAGCAACAAGAACAAAACAAAAACAAACAAAGGTTTGCCATTCACTTACTGAAACTTAATTAAACAGAGATGGAAACTATTTACTATAGTGATATTTTGTTTGTGTTGTAACAAACAAAGCTTGCCTGAAGATCAGAGTGCAACGCTAAGCCACTAGAGGCCAGGCGGTGGTGGCTCACACCTTTAATCCCAGCACTTGGGAGTCCTACACATTTAATCCCATCACGAGGAAGGTGGAGACAGGAGTGATATGGCTGGGTGGAGAGAGAAATATAAGGCAAGAGGAGACGGGAGCTCATTGAGTCTCAGGTTTGGTGGAGACAGTTGCAGTCTGAGGATGAAGTCTGAGGTGGCGATCTGAGGACAGGATCGCCCCTTCAGTCTGAGGATTCAGTAGAGGTAAAAGGTCTCTCTCGTGGCTGGCTGCGCTGCTTCTCTGATCTCTCAGCTTTCACCTCCTGATTGCTGACTCTGGGTATTTTATTGTTAAGAACAATCTAGCCAGCTCTGAGTCCACTCATCACAATTAGAATTGTTCTTAACAATAAAATTTACCTTTATTAAAGCAATATTTGAAATGCATGTTCTCGGTTCCAGCTAATAAAAGGAGTCACTGTTTACCATCGTCCCCCTGTTCTCCCTCCTGTGTCCCTGGGGAAGTCATATTTCAGGCTTGTGATGGAACAGAGCTGTGGTGAGGGACGCCACCTACAGAGGGGGGCTTTGTCTCCTTCCTCTGCACGCACACCTGTATGAATATCCAGCCTTTAATGACGTCTCTTTCAGATTCATTCCTGAATCACCTCGTTGGTTATACTCCCAGGGTCGACTGAGTGAGGCAGAAGAGGCTCTCTACCTCATTGCCAAGAGGAACCGCAGGCTCAAGTGCACGTTCTCACTCACATGTCCGGCCAACAGGAGCTGCAGGGAAACCGGAAGCTTCCTGGATCTCTTCCGTTACCGGGTCCTCCTAGGACACACTCTGATCCTGATGTTCATCTGGTAATTCTGGGGGATGTTATGGAACCTTCAGTTTGAATGCTAGCGGGTTCCTGACAGCCTGGTCCTTCCACCGGGCTGCAGGAAGAGTGAGCTCTTGTCACTATGAGGCTGCCTTGTTAAAACCCAAACCAGACAAGGCCCCTATCCCTCAGTGCTTTCTGTGTGGAATCCTCTGATATCTGGGAAATGTTATCTCTGGCACTGATAGGCTTACAGGAGGTTGAAGGAATGGACAGAACCACACATCAAGTCAGTTGATGAAGGGTTGCCACTCTGAGCCTGATACTCAGTTGCTTAGTGTATTCCAGCCTGCCTCTCAGAATGCTTCTGAGTTGGATAAGCTGCATCCAGGATTCTGGGTGACTCCTTTTAAAGAATGAAGTTTCATGGAGACAGTTGAGGAGGTTCGTGTCCCAGGGTATAAGTGCACCGTGAATGGAGCTTAAGAGAAACTCTGAAAACCAAACCCGCAGTATAGTGCAGATGTTGCCAACTGGGGGTTCTTACTAGTTGGAAGCAGATGCCGGGTGCACAGGAACCCGGAGCTCTAGCCAGCTCTGAGTCCACTCATCACATGGCCCGTCAGCTGCATTGGAGGAAGTACTCACTTGTAGAGCTCCCTTTTGTGGTCTAAGGGAGTGAACCTAGTGCATTATACATGTCAGGCCAAATGTTCTACGGCTTTGTCTCTCAACTGTGTCCACAGTCCACTATAGCCTATCTTTCACAGCCCAGGACACTTGGCCCACTGCTGTGTTGAGGGAGCTGCGGGGCTGCATTCCGCCACCCAGCTCCTGCCACTGGCTAGCTTTACCCGAAATAACAACACACAAATTGTATTCTTTTAAACACTGCTTGGCCCATTATATCTAGCCTCTTCTCGGCTAACTCTCGCACCTGGACTAGCCCATTTCTAATAAAGTGTGTAGCACCGAGGTTCGCTTACCGGGAAGATTCTAGCCTACGTCCATCCTGGGCCAGAGCTTGATTGTGTCTGCCTCAGAGAGCAGAGCTATTGCGTCTGCCCAGGAGAAGGGAGCATGACATCTCTGCTCCAGAGAGCAGAGCTGTCGAGTCTGAGCTGCTGTATTTTCAAGCTGAGGGAAAAATAAAGTGTTCCCTTTGCCACTCAACCCTGAAGCAGCCACAAACATGCCAGGCTTTTTCTAGCAAGAGCAAACTAGAAGCAAGCAGTCAAGGAATCTCTTTAGCAGGCACTGGCCACGGTCAGCTGCAAAAGACAAACTAGTGGAGGTGGAAAGCCCAGATAGGAACCTGTGGGCTATCAGCTGGCTGCATTTGCTAGTCAAGACCAGTCTTATGGTCCTTAGGACCAGCTCTTCTGCACTGTGGTTTTAACACAGCAGCTGATGCTCCTTTCACCACCTCACTGGGATTTGGAGCTTCAGGTTGGCACTCAGCTCAACTGAACTCCTTGGCACATCGTTCCCCACTGCAGGACACAGACATGTGCCTGGCACAATGCCAGAGCTAGGAGGCGCTCCCTAAGTGTGAATTTCAATGATGGTGTGCAGAAATGAGTTACTATCTCTCAAGAGCCTCGCTCCTTGTTGATCTTCGCCGAAGGTCCCAATCTGCCGCAACACTGGCCATTTCTTCTCGCTCTGGTTTCTGTAGTGCATGGGCTTGTTCAAGATCATGGATGGGAAGTGACTAAGATCCTAGAGGCACAGAGAGCTTGGCATTTGTGGCCTGCAGTTACCTACCTGAGGATCCATCCATTCTCTAGCCGTTCCCTGTTGGCTTTCCCCATAGGAGGCTTAGTCCAGCCCTCCTGATAATATCAAAAGACACAGGCCAGTGTTTCCTAGATTGTTGAACCCAATAAAGTAAGAATAGGGCCATTGTTTCCACTTCAGTGCGAAAATGCTTGAGGAGGCAAGAACAATGTCTTTCCTCAAGCAGGAACTGTCCATTCATTTGTTTTATATAACACACGGACATAAATCACTCCCAAAGCCCCATTATGCCTTTGTTTCTTAATAGGATGAAAGTTTAGATCAAGATAGAAAAGAAAGCTCAGTGGGAGAGTAAAACTCATTATTTGTAGCAGAGGGTTTTATATGGAACAGGTACTGTTTAATCTCCTGGAAAATCTTGTTTCTGGACTTTTCTCTCACCTCTCAGTCCTTCTATCCCCAATGCAGGTTTGTGTGCAGCTTGGTGTACTACGGCCTCACCCTAAGTGCTGGTGACCTAGGGGGCAGTATTTATGCCAACCTGGCCTTATCTGGCCTCATAGAGATTCCATCCTACCCTCTCTGCATCTACCTGATTAACCAAAGATGGTGAGTATGGATGGCGGTGAGGCAGACCTAGGGGCTATGCATTGTAGCACACACATCGTCTTCCATATGTGCTTACCTGATTGTTACGCTCTCTGCCTGTAGACAGTGTATAGCCAGCACTGTTCATCAGTTTCTCTCAGGCTAAATGCAGCTAAGCTCACCTTTTATTGGAGTTGCTCTTGAGTTTTGTGTGTGTAAATGCTTATGTAGGCTTTAACTCAGTGTAAAAGGCACTACCATCTGAGGGGTTTTGAGTAGTCTATGCAGATTCATAGGCCTGAACAATGTGGTTGTTACTCCATGTAGATAGAATCCCGTCAACTCAGACTCCAGAAGACCTTATAAGCAGGAAGACAAAACTTGACAGAACCAGAAAGACTTCCTTCCTCCTAGGAACTACTTAGAAGGGGCAGAGTAAACCCTGCTTTTGCTGCTTGTGAGCAAGGGAGTGAAATTTCAACTGTTACTTTGTAGCCATCTGCCTCCAGGTCTGTTTATCCCTTCTGTTATTCAGTGAGCAAAGGAACCAGTTGAGTTCGGCCATTTCTTACTCCTAGACATTGCACATCATGATTAATCAGGAAACCAAGGTTCCTTTGGGGTTATGTAAACTCATTAATAAAAGAGTTTAGGAACAGACTTGGAAGGAGTTTGAGGACAATTTTCTTAGAGTTTGAAAGAAAAATAACAGGGCAGGCAGGCTGGAAATCCAGGGAGAAGGGAGAAAATAGAATGCAACACCTTTTGAGAATAGGGAAACAGCACTATTCAGAGTGCCAAGGAAAATGTGCTTAGCCTTTGGCCAGTATCTAAGGGAGAGATGAAGAGAAGGATCAAGAAACAAATGCTAAGTGCCAGGCCAACTTGTTCCAGGTTGTTGTTTATTTTTATTTTTAAAAAGCAAAGAGTAAGCACTCAGGAGGCAGAGGCAGGTGAGTTCAAGGCCAGTCTGGTCTACAAGAGCTAGTTCCAGGACAGGTTCCAAAGCTACAGAGAAACCCTGCCTTGAAAAACCAAGAAAAAGAAAGTGAAGAGTGAAACCTTACTGAGCAATAGGAGTGGGCTCGTGAGCAGAAGGAAGACAACAGGGAAGCACTGGACCATGAGCTGTAATATCCCGACTCTCCTGCCACAGCTGCCAACGTGTTCCAGCTGAGAGTCCTGCAGCTCAAATGCAGAGCTCTGTTCAGCTGGAGGTTTTTCTCCTAGACAGCATGGCAGTTGCCTTGTCTGAGTCTTCTGCTAGCGACCATCATTTCCTCTCATCGTGGTCCCAGAAGCAGATCAGCCATCGCACCCAGCATCCCTCTAAGAGTAGCACATCTACCTCTTTTGCAGCTAGCTACAGACTCCTCTGTATGCCTCTGGTGACCACTTCCAGTATCGCCAGGAAACTATTCACAGAATAGCCTTTGCCTGGGGCCTGCCCATTGTGTTCAGTGTTACTCAAAAACCGTTCCTTGCTAGATGTTAAACATAGCCTGGAAACAGCTGTCAAAAAGACACCTGACCTTTCCTTCTTTCCAGCAGCTACTGCTTCAAGGCAGGGCTGGAATATGAAGAGGGCAAGGTCGGTGCCTCTGGGGTCAAGCAGACCTGGGTTTCATTCTAGTCTGAGCCATGTGTTAGCTTCCCAACTGCAGCAAGCTCCCCCACGAGGCTTCCATTTATAATTATTCTAAAACCAGCCATCCTAAAGTTACCCTGACAGATTAGCTACCGGAATTACAATACTGAAGTTTCTAGCAGAGGACCTGACCTTTTGCGGTCCCTTGGAAAGTGGAGATTAGCGTAGCATCTTTCTTCTAAACCTGAGCCTCTTATTTGGAAATCAAAGTGTGTAGTACATTTTACTTAACTAGAAACCACTAACAAGAATTTTTTCCTGTTTATATTTCTAAACAATTGAAACAAATACAGACAGACAAAAAAGGCTCCCCCAAACCCTGTATTTAAAATTTCCAACCCCATAAGAGTTGGATAACCAGAGACCAACACAAACTAGAGGACTCCATTCTCTTCCTCGGTCTCCATCTCTAAAAGATGGGGCGCACGGTTGTTATTAGGACCGAGGGAGGTAACAGGTGGCGTGTGGTAAGATAGTCCTGCCACAGCCTGCACTCTACGAATACAATGGTTCTTTCCCTGTGGACGGGATCTGACCCGGCCATGTACTGGATTTCCTTTTCGTGCTTCTGTCTATCCTGGTCTGTCTCCTGACCAGCTGCATTTTCCACCTACTCAAAAAGAGATTAAGTCGAGGACACTTGAATAGGAAAGTTGGAAGATGGAGGAAAGGGAAGATGAGTTTCTAAGATTCCTTAGAGAAATAAGCGATTTCCTTCTATTACTTAGGTTTGGTCGGAAACGGACACTAGCAGCCTTTCTGTGCCTCGGAGGACTGGCCTGTCTTATTGTGATGTTTCTTCCCGAAAAGAAAGGTATGCCTCTCGCATTTCCATGAGGACTTTGAACAGCACTTCTATTACAGTGAATCTCAATGTAGTGAAGGGATTACCATATGCCATGCTTCGTTTCTATGATTGCATATTATTTAGCAATTGTGTGGGCTATAAATGGGCCAGATTCTTTGCATTGCCTGAACCATTCTCTGGGTGAATAATGTGCTCAGAGGTGTGCCATTAATTCTTTCAGGCTATTAAGCTACCATCTGGGGTGTCTGGGATGCAGCACTGGCGACGCTAGAGTTGTCTAGTTTATGACAGGGAAGGCCGAAGCCTCTTCTGCGCTAAAACGCCTTCCTAGCTGCAAATGAAGCTCACACTCCAGCCAATCTCAAGACTGGAGATCGGACACTGGTTCTCAAAGGTAGCTTTGGAACCCCTACATGTCTCCATCTGGCACCCCAAGGTTAATAAGTATAACAACAGCACCATAAGAGTTGCATTCCCTGTCCATCACAGTGGTTGTGCTCTTGGCCATTTTAAGGTGTGAATGAGGGCTGCTGAAAAGACTCGGGTGGTAACGGCCCTGGCCACCAGGCCCTGTGACCTCAATCTGATCACTAGTGCCTTTATAAAGAAGGTGAGAACAGTGCCTACAAGTTGTTATCTGACTCCCACACACGGGCTGTGGTACACACATGTGCAGACACATACACACACACAGAGAAACAAATGGATGGACATAATTTTAAAAACTAAGTGCAAATAAAGTATATTTGTAGGAAGCTTTGGTGTTTTTATAACTCTTTAGCTTTACTACACAGCACAGCTTTAGATGTCCCTCTGGGAGGGAATGTAGGTCAGTTGGAGAGTGCTCATCTAGACGGCAGGAAGCCCTAGCTTCAGTCCTCAGGACCATATAAACTGGAGGCATGGTAACAAATGTGTAACCCTGGCACTCTGGAGATGTAGGCAGGAGGATCAGAAGTTCAAGACCATCCTGGGCCACATAACAAGTTAGAGGTTAGCCAGGGATACATGAGACCATCCATTTAACATTGTTACCCCTAAATAGGAGTTCTGGAAAGCCAGATATGGCAGTGTGCTAGCAGTTCCAGCACTCAAGAAACTGAAGCAGCAGGATCCCAAATTTAAGGTTAACCTGGGGTTATGTAGCAAACCAGAGGCAGGCCTGGGCTACATAACAAGATGCTCTCTCAACAATAAAAGAGATTCTGCAGATACATAGGTACTTGCAAGATTCCAAGCTTTTTTGCTTGTCTTCCTTTTTTGGTACTTGCACATTGGCAGCATGACTGTTCCTGCAGAGGGGGATGTGGTTTTCAGTGAGGGGGTCCTAACAGCTTTGCTACAGGGCACATGGGCCGGTAGCACCCTGCGCTTTGTTTGAGAATTTGATTGCTGTCACGTGACTCTTGTGCTCTGGGTGAGAGTCACGGAGCTAGTCTGGCATAGCTTGGTAACTTCTGGAAAGCATTGTTCTTTCCCCATCAGAGTGGCCTGCATGATAAGAGCCCCTCACCAAGTTCTACTTCCTGGAGGTTCAGTTGTCCCAGGGTCTTCTCCGGAGCCTTCCAGGGTATCCATACTCACTTCCTGACCCTGCAGTCACCTGCTCCACTGTCACTCGCCACCTGAAGTTCTGTGCTGTGAGCCACAGAAACTGCGCCTCAGCTTTAACAGTGATCTAGGCCAGGATTGCACCGCAGCTGGACAGGGAGCTTTACCAGTTCACGGAAACTAGAGACTTCAGAATGTTTGCCCAACTCTTACCATTTGCCAGTGTCAGCACCCTTGTGCTGTTTGTCAGGGGCAAAGATAAAGGGCTTCCAGTTGTGGTGGCTTTATGCTCGGCGGAGCTTCTGTTGTATAGGCAACTTGGGAATATCATTTCCTACCCACACAGTCCTAGTCTGCACATCATCTCAAAGAGCAAAGTTGTGGCCTATTGCCGTAAACATCGCTGTGTCCCATCCCACCTCTGGAAGCCAGGCCAAAGACCTTTTCCCCTTACTTCTTTGCACATTCAGGTAGCCCACCTTTAGGACTCTACACATGACCCTCCCTAACACACACAAATGATCTCCTATCCAGATCAGCCATACGTCTTCATCTCCATCTGTCCCGAGAGTTGCTAGACCCCTCTGTGGCCATGGCTTGAGACACAGTGAAGCAGTGTTTCCCACAGACTCAGAGAATAAAACATGGCTGTTATGCTTAGAGAAAGTGGACATCCTGTTAACTTTTCAAAATTTCCTAGGAAAAAAATTCTATAATGTCCCTAAATAAATCATTTCTGTTTTTAATAGCCATGACTGCTAGAATGGTCATCTTCCAAGACAGCCGAGCCCACTTCCTCTCATTTGATTCCTCACCAGAAACAGGGAACAGACGGCCAAGTTTTCTGTGTATAATCCTTGCTGTTCTTCCTGGAATCCTCTCTGAGCTTAAAAAAATTCTTCAAACTATTCATATTCGCCCTTTAAAATGTTTTGTTTGGTTTCTTTTAAATCTGTTTGTCAGAGTTTTAAAGCAGAGGCTGTAAAAGTTCTGTTAAGTATGTATTAAGGAAAGACCTAGTGTCTGCTAGCAGCTCACGTGAGCTTGGAGACCATGCTTTTCTCCACCGTGTGCCTGTCCGCTTCGCTGAGTGTCCCCACCAAGCATCCACACCTGTGTTCTCTCCTTTCTGCAAGCTCAGGTGCCCTTTATCCACTGGCTTCCTTTTAGCATCTGCACATGGCTGTGACTCTCAGCTTCTGGGGCACTTGTGGATGCTGTGATAATGTATCTCTAGGAGACACAGAAAATAAACTGAAGACCAGATATTTAGTAGCCTTGGCCTGTGCCTTATAAGCTGAAATCTATAATGTTCCAAAGTCAAAAAGTTTCAACACTGAGAATTTTGAGCACTAACAAGCGTGGTGTCCCACATGAAAGATTCCACACTTGGCCTCCTGTGATGGGTCACAGTACAGGTGCACTGCAAGTGTTGTATGAAAATACCTCCTGGTTCTGTGTGTACAATGTTTATAACATGATTAAATCTCTTGCTTAGGCTTGGGTCCTATGCTCAAGACCCAATTTTGCTATGTATATACAAATACTCCCTAATCTCCCCAAACCAGAAACACATCTGGACCAAGCACTTGATCAAAAGACCCCTCAGCCTGTGTTAGAGAGACGCTTCCTATCCATATGTGTTAGCCTCCTGGTCCACTCTCCTCTGGGAATGTCAGCAGGAGTCACTTAAAATTTTACAGAGACTTGTCATTGGGCATTTTACTTGGCCTATATTCTTGCTTAGAGGAGGATCCTAAATAATCTTACATCTTTCAATATTGGTTGCTGTTTATAGAGTGTTGACTGAGTGCTGGATTCTACATATGTGAAAGTCATTATGTGTCACTTATCACAGGGGAACTAAAATTCAGACAGGCCAGGTAGCATATCCAGCTTTATAACAAGAGGCTGGAATTCCAGGCCTTCCTGACTCACCACCAAAACCATGGAGATGCATTGCCAGCATAATCACAAATGTTGAGACTGGGGTGTCTGAGCATTAACCCTGTGTGATTAGTGCCAGTTCTAAACTCAGCAGTGGCAGGCCTAGTGGAGACTAACCAGGGCTTAGAAGACTGAGTTAAGGTAGCACCGACCACCTGTAGACATGGCTCATGGCAGCTGTGGTCTCTGGAAGACAAAAGTGGGAAGGAGTGACATGAATGGGAGGACCACCAGACAGGAGTGGAGAATGTCATGAGAGAGGACTGGGTAGGATCACCAAATGGGCAGGGAGGACTGCCAGACAGGAATGGGGAGGACTGACAACCATGAATGGGGATAATGAGATAGAACTGGGTAGGACCACCAGATAGGAGTAGAGAAAATCAGACAGTAGCAGGCAGAGCCATCCCTAGAACCCAGGCCCATCAATGCTTTGTGCATTCTTTAGCTAGACATTAAGCATTAGAGGAGACAGCCCGGACTAAAATAGCCCTAAGTAAAAGGCTGTTATCCCTAAAAGTGCTCAACACAAACACTGCAGGATCACTGGTTCTGAGTAACTGATCTGTATCAGAGAACAAAGTCAAGGTAGCATTCAGAAGACATTAACAGCATGCAACACCTGGCCAGGGAACTGTCACGCATGGCTTTCAATCAGAATTTCCAGACACACATGTAAGAAGGAGAAAACCTCGACGCAAGGAAAGAGAGATCAACAGAAATAGCCCAGGGGTGCACTAGGAAGTGCTGTAACTATGCCCTGTGTGCTTAAGTAGGTGAATGTCAAAGCAGCTACTGTAACTATGTTCCATGTGCCTAAGTAGCCAAGGTAGCCAAAAGTCCAAACAGCTACTGTAACTATGTTTCTTGTACTTAAGTAGACAAATGTATACTTGGAATGAGCAGAAAAATGAGGCCATAAAGAAGACAGGCATAGAAAATCTAAAGAGCTACTTCCAAGAAGAGGCCAAGAGAAGAAAAGGTTAAAAAAAATCCTAAAGTGCCGGGCAGTGGTGGCGCACGCCTTTAATCCCAGTACTTGGGAGGCAGAGGCAGGCAGATCTCTGTGAGTTTGAGACCAACCTGGTTTACAAGAGCTAGTTCCAGGACAGGCTCCAAACCCACAGAGAAACCCTGTCTCGAAAAACCAAAAAAAAAAAAAATTCTAAAGTGCGGGGCTGGAGAGATGGCTCAGTGGTTAAGAGCACTGACTGCTCTTCCAGAGGACCCGGGTTCAATTCCCAGCACCCACATGGCAGGTCACAACTGTCTGAAGATCCAGTTGTAGGGGATCTGACACCTTCACACCAATGCACATAAAATAAATAAAAAAAGAAAATCTAAAGAGGAAGCATGCAGCATACAAAAGCAATAGTGATGGGACCCACAACAGACTGTATACCATGGAAGAAGAGATTCATGAATTACAGACATAGCAAAAGAAACTGTTCACCATGAAATGTAATTTAAATGAAAACAAACTGAATAAAATCTAATGAGTACCAGTG